TATGGCTGGAGGTTTCTATGGTAATGGCAGGTAATTTAATCTTCTGAATCAATCTCGCACCTCGTTTTCACACTGTTATATCGCTCGCTTTCAATCTAACTGGAATAATCAACGCAGACACAGCTGCACACATCTGTTCGGGGTGAGACCTAAGTCTATCCATCCATCTAATCTATCAGGGGCTTCTTGTCGTGGCTGAAGAAGGTGAAGAATGCATCAATGTCTTTTACTTAATGCTCTGCGACTCTCTTCTGACCTTGGAGATCATCCATTGAAGAATGTAACATGTAAAACATAAAATATCCCTTTTTCCTCGAGGTCAGTAAATCTGTCGAGTGATGTCTACGCAGAAAGGCATTTTGATCTCATAAACAGTGGCAGCAACTTTTACTACCATCTCCGCATCTGTCTTGCACTTGTGTCGCAGCCACCGCAGCAGCCCGTCCTTATTCGCATGCGATTCATCAGCGAACGCGTGGAGACTTTCCCCCTCAAAACAACTTATTTTAGCTTTTAAGGCAGACCAGATCTTTAAATTCCAAATAGCTGAGGTGCCACGGAGACGCCACGAGGCCGATCGCTCGCAGCAAATACTGTTAGGTGTGATGGATGTGTGTGAAGTTTGGCCTCCAAAGAGATGTGATGACGGGGACACAATTTAATAGCTGTCACACGTATCTCCAGCTCAACTGGTCGTCCTGAATTGGACCGAACGGCAGCGAGCGAGCCTCAGAACTTCACTCCGTTAGTACGCCCACCAGACCTGCGAGAGAGGCAACTGCCAGCGTGGGAAATTAACACCAGCCAAACAAAGAGTGGGCACTGTTAAAGTTAGTCAGTTTGTAAATTAGTAAACACTACGACACCTTTAAGCAAGTCCTGAATCATAACTGGCAGTGTGAAGAAAATCCCCGTCAGCCAAAAGAAATGTGGGCGTTGACACCAAAGTTTGCCGCTTTTTTTAAAGTTAGTAAACAGCGCGGCACATTTAGCACATTCTGTACAAGAGTCGTCGCACTCCAACAGCCTTACTGCAAGTATTTAATTAAAGGACAGCTTCACAACTTTGTCAGTCTGTCTTAAAACAACAGTCAGGTGCCCATGTGGAGACTGAAACAGGTTTTGCTCGCTCTAATCATTCCTTCTCCTCATACTGGCCATTAATATGTGATATCCAAAATCTATCTAGTATGTGCATAAATACATCACAAAACTAGTTTATCTGAAGCCAATATCCAACTTAAGCAGTCTTAGTTCTACAAATCAGGTATTTATTTTATATTTAGAACAAAATTCCCTCTTTGTGTGTCCGTTCCTCCGCTGCAGCTCGGCTCAGAAACGGTTTTCTTTGTCCTAAAAAGTCTGTAACTTTGGATACCCACATGATTTGTCTAACTAAGGCTGGGTTCAAGCAGCTCTGTGTGAAAAATGCAGCCCCCTCATTCATTTGAATGGGGGAAGTCCGGCAGGGTAGAGGAGGTGCCAATGCAGAGGGCTCCGGCAAGAAATCGTCCGACAAAAAAAGTTAAACCCCTCAACTTCTGCCGCAGTGCAACAACGGCATCATCCAGCCAAGCGCTGCGTTGGTCAATAAAACACACACACTGCTGGTGGATTACTTTAGAAATAGACTGTGCACCTCACAGATAAACTAATAGTTGTCTATAAATACTATAAACCTCAGAGAAGCTTTAAAACTTTACAGACATTAACAGATTTGTTATTCAAACTGGACAGCCGGGATTTCACGTCTCACCTGTCCCTTACGTAACACGCCCCCCCGTCCACGCAGCCCCCTGTATTGTTCACACAGGGATGATTCGGCCTGCTAAAGCTGCAGACAAATTCAGCACATTTTTGCACAGACTGTAGATTTTGTCCCC